GAAACAAACATAGGCAGCGGTCCTTCAAGCATCGTTTGTTTGATCATGGTGTCTGTGCAGTGCAGATGTCGGCACAGCCGTGACTTAAACCAATCCGAATGCCCAGCTTACCATGGACTTTAGTAGGCGCCTACAAACTCGATCGCTGACGTCAACAACAACAAAAAAACTATAATCTTTGGTAAAGTCCCGGCCCGCACGGCTAGTTTGCAAAACAGTTCGCCCAGAAACCAATCGCCACGGCATTGATCGTGGTCCCAGGGATCCAGGAAGTACTTAGCCGACGTTATTTGTACCACACAAGTGCATGCAATCCCACCTGTTCACGCTGAGAGCGGTGTATGTTCGATCGAAGCGCTGAAACCACGCTGTTGGACTGCGTCGTATAGTAACCGCTTCAGGGACAATCTCTCACATTCCAATCGCTCTTACAACGCGAGGACACTATACACGATCGTAACTCGATGCTGACGTATATACGTTCGGCAGGGGAACCTTTTGACCCACGTCGCGTAGCTCCTAAGAGATGCTCTATCTCGACCCGTGTGTTTTTACTATACTCCTACCTTCACGTCAGGACAAAATGAACATATGCTCAAAAATTAAAATGTGAATACTAAATAATGCGGAGGAAACCCTCACGGTATTTGTTTGAGCTTTGCGTCGAACGTAACAACAGATCGAATCGACGGGAGTGTTCCATGTGACGAGAGCGTCCGCCACTACCGCCCATCGAGGAGATGACAAAAGGACAAGGAGGTCAATCTAAAATCGAGGTCAGGCTTTAGAATATTCATAAGGGAAAAGTCCACTTAAAAAGGGAAGGGGGGGCACTTTCTATACAGGGGGGCGGTAGTCGGGGGCAGACGGTCGTGGCCAAGGAGGGCGATAACAAACGCGATAAACGCTTTCGGGGAGCTATAGAACAATTCACCGCTCACCCCGCTGATTATCCGCGAGGCACTCATCTGGCTCATGTTTCTGACGTAAGCTACCACGAATCGGGAACGGCCGCTGGTATATTAGCGAAGCGCCAGCAGCACTTGCACAGGCTGCGAACGAGGCCGAGCTGTCGGACGGCGAAGCGTCGGTACCAGGCCAGCATATTTCTAGGGACTTCGCACGGCCTCGGCAAGCGGTACTATCTCCCACGGAGATGATCCGCGATCGTTTCCAGTGTCCGACGAGTGCATGAGCACACGCTGCTGCCGTAAGCTTCTTCTGGCGTCGCGCTGTTTTTCAAGCATAAACGGGACGTAGGCAGCCATTTTAAACAATTAGTTGCCAGAAAAAAAAATCATAAGAGGAATTGGGCCTTTGTCATAGGATTTCGTCCTGTCTCAGGCAAAAGTTGAAACATTTTGCTTCGAAAACACCGAAAAATTTTAAAAAAGGAGCTATATTTGTCAACGTTTTGTCGTAAGATAGTTTCGAAAATCCAGCTCTCTACTTCTAATGTGTGAACTACGCTTATATTATGCTACTATATACGTTGTGTTTCAGTAGTGCACTTGCTACCGCGCCGTCAACACAGTCTGACGACTAAGAAATATACAAGCTCAAAATATAGTTCGAACCTTACAATAGCATTGGCGAAATATACCTCAGTAAAAGTCAGAAATGCTTAATATACTTTTACCGCATTTTGCCAAAGGAAATCACAACGATATTGCTGATCTCCTAATATATTTCGTAGAAGTCAGTGAGGAAATACGTAGAAATCGGCGACTGCCACGCGTTTCTAGAAAACAAAATGGAGGCGCCGCCGATCCACTGGCACGTGTAGGCGCGTCAGCGAATGTCGCGTGATGCGAACGGGCGAAGCACCATCATGGCTGCTTCGTATGCCATGGTAGTGTCGACACACCATATTCGCGTCTCCAGCTCGACGGTCGCCCTCCCGCGGCGGAAACGGGAAGCGCGGTAGTGAGGGTCCCCCGATTCTCCTGCCCAGCGGGCACGACGGAACTGCTCGCGATCATGGCTCGCGAAATGTCGTTTCCGAATGCAAACAACACTCTTCACTGTCCCAATGTAGTGCTGCAGCCGGTATGGTATTGTACCTTACTGAAGAGTTTTAGTATTGCGCATAGAAGCGAACGCAAGCGGTGTGCGTTTCCGTTAGGGTTGCAAGTCCCACGTTGTGCGTGCGCCTCATCGCCAGGCGCCATCCAAGACCGCAATTTCGGGCTCCGCGCACGCGCAGTGTGGAACGCGCAAAGCTAACGCAAACACACAGCACTCGCGTTCGCTCGTATACGCAATACTAAAACTCACTACTGTTTCACCGGCTTCCAACGCCGACAAAACGTGCTGCAGTGAGCAGACGTGCAAGCAGGTAGGCGTTCCTTCGAACTGGAAAGGCTGAGATTGAAAAAAAAAAAACGACGCAGCGTAAAAATGAGAGTAACTAAATGTTATAAAACAATTAATAATTTAATTTTTTTTTTAATCTTTTGGGCATTTGGTTTGGAAAAATATTGGCTGCAACTTAAGTTTTGCTGCTTGTCAAAAGTCGCGACTTCGATAGAAAAATATACTTTAACCACAATTAATGTAATTTTACATGGATTTCTCACAATAGCTAGAAGGTTTTCATCGACTTAGACTATTTTTATTTTATTACTTGGTAATTAAAAATGCTGCAATTGGCAACGGTGATGATAATTAACACAGTTTTGGTCGTCATATTTGTTCGCGCGTTTGAAATTAGATCATAAGCAAAGCTTGAAATATTACGTATTACAATAACTGAATTTTAATATTATTATTAATACCAATCGTGGCAATGTCGGCCCCAAATTAACGCCAGAATCACGAAAATATGCCATTTTACCATTATAGTCTATCCAGAAAGCTATAATCTTGTTTTCTTTTTAGCATATGAAAAACTCTGACATCGTTATCAAGATAGACTAACAGTCAAACACTGGATGTAATATAAAGTCCTATGCGTCACGCGTTGATATAAAACTTACACACGCACACACTTCAGCTGTCTAACTCAGATTCCGTCTTTGGGTTGTTGCAGTGAGAACAGCGTTTATTAATTTATACGTTTTGTGGACATTTCTAAAAATTGGAATTCTCTTATTCCTGTGCTGGGAATAATGTTAAACCAATTAATCATCTAAAGACCCAAAAGCCCATTAAAAGGCCCGCAGTTCATTATTTCCCATGACAATTATCTGAGCGAGAAAAGGCAGCGAGAACGCACAAATATCAGCCTGGATCGGACATGTATGTCACGAAATAAAGTTTCCGCGAACAATTTTTCTAACTAGATAATTTTCGATGTGAGACACCTTGAGAGGTATGAAAGAATCCGAAATTAAGACCTATACTGAGAAATTAAATCCAAAATAGAAGCTAGTTTCGGTTTCCTCCAGAATCAAAACGCGCATCCTTGCGTAAATATTACGCTAAACACCGTTCTTGTTTTCAGGGTAAAGAGGCGACCTGCTCCCATAACACCCTAGCTTCCCCGTATTACCAGAAATAATTTGTGTCGCTCAGTAAAGCCAGCACACTAGACAGGCTCAACAGCCGGCACGCATCTCCGACCCTCACTATAACAGCCATCTTGGAAAATGAGTGGCGCCACCTATAGTTAGTTGGAGTCGCGCACTTGCAGATTCGCGTGCGGGTTCGGGCAGGCGGAAAGTGGATTTTGGAGCGGAGGGTGGCGAAATCGACTCGTCCCTGGCGGAAAATCAAAATCAGTACGACACACATATCCAGATTTCCCGCCAGCGACGAGTCGAGTTCGCCACCCGGCTCAGAAATCCGCTTTCCGCCTGCGCGGATCCGCCCGCGAATCCGCGAGTGTAACCACGGCTGGCTCACACATTTCAGTGTGAGTGTGAACGCTAGCGACCCGCAACCGCCTATGATTGTTTACGACGAGATTCGACACACTGGCGCAATCTGTCGGGTATTCCTCGAACACTTTTGATTTAAAGGCATTTCCATTTTTTTTTTTGTTTTTTTTTTTGCGCACATTGCTTTTATTTGGGGCTTGAAATGTTTTCGGCAATTCTAAATGCGATAATTTCTTATAGATAGCGCGTACATATACATACTGGTTTTAAAGCTTTCCAAAACTGATACGAAAAAAAAAACGCGAAAGCTACACTGTTTGTGCACCAGATTTGTACGGCCAGGGGGACGTAATTAGCCGGGGGCTAAGCGCCACACAATAAATAAATATTAAACTAAAATTTATTAATTAATTTTTTAATTATTATGATTACAAATATATGATTCCAATTAGAAACTGGGTGAGCGCCATCGAAAACCACTAAATCAACACGTTTAAGAAAAAAAACCTTGAGCACGTGGAAAGCGCTGTACTGGACTAAAGTTTGCTTGTGCAACAGGCACAAGGCTGGCGGTGTTTAAACGCCGATGATAAAAGACGGAAAACCGCTCTGGCGCCTTATATCCTTGCCCCTGCTACCCGAGTGGTAACTTTAGCGCTTTACCGTGCTTCGCACGTGCTCCAATTTTTTTTTCTTCTATAAATTATTGATTTAGTGATTTTCGATCACGCTCAGCAAGTTTCTCATTGCAACCATATATTAATTATTTACTTACTAAAAATATAATTAACATTTTCGTATTAATTGAATTACCGTGACGATTAGCCAACTATATTATGTATACCTTGAGCATATACCTCACCTGTACAAACCGGAATAGTGTAGCTTTCGCAGCTTTTCCTAAAATGAATCTCTGAAGCATAAAAAAGCACCACATATATGTGATCCGGCAAATACTGCAAAACATCAATTCTAGTTATAAACGGTTACACGGCTACCTGATAAATGACGCCAGTGTACTCTTTCGTCATAACTGGTTACAAGCTGTCAGAACGGAATTCGTCGTATTCGAGCTCAAATCAAATACGTAGCGTGGAGTAATCTATATATAGTATATTTGCTTGGTCGTAGTAAGTGCAGATTAACAAACTAAGGCGGCTGTTCGGAGGTACAACTTACCCCAAGCGCTACGTTGACGCATCCGAGGAAGTCGTCGACGGTGTCGACTGGGCTGGCCCTGGCCGACTGGGCAATTTGCTTGAAGTAGCGGCCCAGTCCCTTGAGGCCAGTCACCTCGTTGAGCTTGCGGGCCGCGTCGAACACCGAGCTCTCGTCGTCATGGTCCCTGAACAAGAGAAAAATCCCGCTCCAGCCTCATCGCGCCTATCTGAAGCTGATGACTGTGAAAGTGGACGAAGGAACGTTGCACACAAAGATCTGAAGCAACCATTCACAGAGATGGCGGCGGACAAGGGCTTCTTCTAATTTTAACAACGAGCGGCGTGGACGGCGTCAAGAAAGAACACCTCAAGTGCACAATGGAGCTTTTGTTGCTGTTGCTGCTGTTCGCGTCTTTTGCTATACACTGCCCATACGATGAGACACCAAGGCGCCAAAGACACGCCGCCACTGTTTGAGCTTGTAGGCCGAGATGAGTCCCTTTATTCCGGTAGATGATGTCAATAATAACTAAGGTATATTTACGTACGGTATAATTTACCTTTTGCTCAGTTACTCAGACAACAAGGAGTATGTTGCAAGTGCAGTTACACGCGCAGCACGTGGTCGCGTCCGCAACATTAACTTTTCTCACTCTGGAATGTAGAATTAATGGCGCCATGCACGCGCACTCGTCACTGCCTTAGTCAACCTCATATTGCTCTTACACCCATAACGAGAGCGCATGCAGCGCGTGCACCTACGTTCCCAGCATTCTCCTTGGAGCTCGTATAATTCGGCGAAATGAATTCTAGCCTCCACTTTGTTCTTGAAGGTACCATGAAGCCGAAGCTGGTGGTTTCACCATCACCCAGTATTAATGATTAGATAGGGTCGGCTTAACGTCTCCTCCAATTAAAATAATTGTGACTGTATGTAATTTGTTAATAATCGCCAAAGAACAGCTGGTTACATGTCAGGCCTCAAGATTTAAGTTGACTTAACAATGGAAAGCATTATTCCGAAGAAAACAATAAGGTGGATTAATGACAATTACTCACCAGACATCGAGGTGAAGTCGGTCTGCATGCACGTCATCGATGTCCCTAAAAGTATTGAGAGGAAATTATCAATGTTGCAACAGTCTGTAAAATTAATTGTAGATAATGCCGTTAACTCTTCTATATTATATTTTTCATCCGCGTAAATGTATTTCGCAAAAGGAAACACTACAGCCCCCTTCACTGTTCACAAGGCTAGTGCGACTAAGACAAACAAAGAACAAAATTATCCTATCAATTTTATTACGATTAAGCGAATGCCTCGCACAGCAGCAATACTTGGGTTGACCACGCTCTAAAATTATAGGAAAATTAATTTTTACATGAAATCACTCGACATACAGACCAAATGTAGCAACCCAAACAGCACAGAGTTGGCCAAGCATTGGCCTATGGCTGGCAATGGTCCTTTGACCAGTGGCCAGACAGTGGCCAAGGATTGGCCGATGATTGGCCTCCCTCTGGCCATTGGCCAATGGCCACTGGCCATCAGCCATCGGCCAAGCGTTGGCCAATGAATAGACACTCTTTGGCCACTGGCTACAAGACCATCCCCAGCCACTGGCCATTGCTTGGCCAAAATTCATGCTGCTTGGGAAAGTTCTCAAGGTATCCAGCAAACTACAATGGACAAGTTGTAAAACTCCCGCGCGACCAGCGCTTACGCGAACGGAGCTTAGGAAACCGGCATTTATGCGACCGGCACTTACGACAGCGAAGCTTACGAAAACACAACGCACATGTCTACAGGTCATTTAACAACGTTTAAGGCCGATTTAAACAGTAACGTTTGACTACCATACATCATGGTTGATTGATTGATTGCACAAGTGACTGGTTAATTTATTTATCGAGGAATTGACTGATTGAGTGGCTAATTCATTTAGTTGCCAATGGATTGGTTCATTGATAGATCGGTAGCGTGATTGATTGATTGATTCATTGATTGTATATTTTATTGATTGACTGGCTCATTCATTCATTGATACTCACAGCCTGAAGCGTTCGTTCCACCTGGGGTTGAGGGTGGCCGGTTTGACAGTCGTGGTCCGGATGAACTTGGCCGGCACCGTGGCGCTCTCCAGGGACCCGCTGCGGGGCTCCTTCTTCTTGAACGAGGCGCCCAGCTTGCGCAGGGACCGCCGCGGACTGCCCGCCGGTCCGCCGGGTCTCTGCACCACCACCACCTCGTCGTCGGAGCCGCCGCCTGCGCTGCTGCTGCGTCGACGACGGCGCTGAGTGTCGTTGCTGCGGCGACGGAGATGTCACGGAAGCGGAGAAAAAGAGTGTAAGTATCTACACCGTGATTCGTGACCAGTGCTGTAAAAGCTATACAAATCATCTTCTTGAGAAATCTTGATAACTTCTTCAAAGACCGCTACCTTCACATGCCAAGTTACTGCTGCTTATGAGGACGTCGACGCACGACGCTATGGTTAGACGAACATTGAAACGCTGCCTGCAAAGTTGGAACTCCCTTCATTTATTTACTTCTTTTCTGCTACTTTCCCAGGGTGCCCACTGCATGCATTTGCGAATATATTCCAGCTTACAACGTGGGGGTCAGCGACCCATTCACGGCGTTGAAGCAAGGCAAAAGACAGCGTGTTGTCAGAATATAGACTTCTACAGCCGAGAGATGTCACGTGCTTCCCTTCGCCATTCTGGTTGGCGAGGAAGGTCCTAATGTTCGCCCATACACGTGGGTGCGCTATGCTAGCGAAAACGCGAGAGCGCAGTTCTACGAGACGCCTAGTTCGTACGATCAGCAGCACTACAGAGCCACTAAATTAGCTGCGCTTAGAGTATCGGCACTCTGTTCCCCGTCATTGTTGCGGGCACCGCCATTTTGGTGCTTGTACAGAGCAGACGCAACTGCCGATCGCCATGAGCCATGATTCAAGTGTGAATTCCTCAGCATTAGATTCGGTGTTAGGAAGCTGATAATGTCAAGAATGACAATTGATGAGGCGACGAAAACTGAAACAAACTGAACGTTTAATGGGGGCGAACTTGTGCTGAAAACAAAATACAGAAAGGCTAGGGTCGCAGGCGCCGACAACTCCGTGACAGCAGGATCGAGCACGGAGCCCCTATTATGTATACATGCGTTAGCTTCTGGAACAGTCGGCTATTGAAAGTTCGGCGCGTAGAATATTCGCACCTCGAACAAGCAACAGGGTTCTCGAATTTTCCAGAACATTAAACTGAGGGAATAAATAAAAGACGGGCAACTCCCAGGAATCGAACCCGGGGCTTCCTAACGAAAGTCAAGCGCGGTAACTATACTCGGCCACGCACACGTTCGCTTGCTGACGCGCGTGGCAGATGTCGCGAACTTTTCAAACATTTGTGGAGGGCTGAAAATCGTTTCCTGTGATGCCAGACAAAGCTTCAGATAACTGGCAACCATGATTTTAAGCCACAGTATGGGCAAGTGTCGTTACTCTAAGGCGTAGCTTATTTAGTGGTACTAAGCTGCACATGAAAGGAACGTGCTAGAGTCACTGAATATTCCCAGAGCACCGCAACTCCCAAGCTTCGTTTCAGAACCGAGTCGCGGCGCAGCAGTCGCGATCCCCCCAACATGGCGCTGCTCTGTGCGGTCGAAGCGAAGCGCGTACAGTGTAGCGTTCGTTCTCGTCTGAGCTCTTCAATTCACGTTCCTGGCCTGTAGCGACACTGTTTTTTTTTTTTGTTTTTTTTTTTTTTTATTAGAGTCCTTTCCTTCCTTTCGAGCGGTGTGTGACTTGCTCCTCGCTGTCTCGTCTCCCTCTCTCGCCTCGAAACACATCAAAGTCGAGTGATAGGCTTAGCGTCTGAGGTGTACAGATATGAAACGCAGCACCAGCGGAACCGGAGTGAAATGAAGTTTATAGCTGCGTTCGAGATTTCGCCCGTGTCGTTCTGTGTTTTCGTCCCTTGTCCCTATCCCCAGCCTCGGGTTTATAGCTATGCTCAAATTACACCAGCTAGCCTGCGACCTCACCATTGCTTCATTCCGGCAATCTTCTTTGGTGGACCAGATTAGCGGCTACTTGATCTAAAAATAAAAACTAGAGAAAATCAACGCACCTTCCGTTCGGTGCTAACTCCAGCGCTCCCACCCTTGCGTACCCGGCGTAGCCGTGCTAACGTGGAAAGATTTTATATACGCGCTTTCTGTTGTTTTGGGCCGATCCAAAAAAAGATGGCCGACTGATAACTTCCGTCACGGGCAAAACCAGCAATTAAGAACTTGATTCTGCGGGATTAACTTCGGGTAAGCAAACTGAATGGAATTCGGTACTCTGGGTACACTCAGTGACTCTAGCACGTGCAAAAGTGCTCCTTTCGCGCCAGTCCTTTGTCGACAGCGCCACCGACTTGTGCGATGGTGCAGTGAGAATGTTAAATCTGGTGACTATACTTCGTTTCCCTCAATCCCGAGCACCACCAACACAACAATCCGATGGAGTGAATCAAGTTGGGCGAAAAGCGCCAGCTAACGGCGTTTTATGGTTTCGCTGCATGTGTTATCGCCAACTGATTCAGTCAAGCGAGGAGAATACGTCGTGACATCGCGATTTTATTTTAGATGTTCGTATTTGTTTTACCGCTAATTCTTGGTCCCATACGGACTCGAGATGAAACGAAGCATAGTGCGTCCGCTGCTGAAGGGCTCGGTTGCAATACGTCTGCAAAAACCTTACCGCACCTGCCGGTATTCACGAGCTGTTGGTTCTAAAGCAGTTGTAATGCATGACCCGTTCCGCAGTCAGTGACACTTTTTTAGCATGACATTAGAGAGGGTACGTGCATGCCAGAGCTATTAAATAAGCTGCGCATCAAAGCGACGTCCCTTCAGCTATCATGTTGCGTAGCAGCAGTGTTGACAGCCGACACCAGCCTCGACCGACGCGTCGAACAGACAACGCAGACAGTGCTTTTCCCCCTCCTGCTTACTAAAATAGTCCGGCGGCTGTAATTGGGACACTTGGCGGGAACGTTGGCAAGAAATTCGAAGGCCGTGGTTGGCCGGCGCCGCGCTTGACTTTGGCGCCTGCCGATCCCGGTCGTCGAATTCTCGCCGACTTTTTCGCCAAGTATCCAGATTAGAGTCCAGAAACAGCGCAATACGATATCTCCTGGGGCCTCTAAACAACGCAGAGTCACGACCAATAGGTCGCACTTTATACCAGAGCTGTCGTCAGCGGCGCCCGCGGAGCTCTAGGCAACAAAATGGCGGCGGCCGTGAGCCGGTGACTATATAGTAAAAGAAAAGCACGGGACAAAAGCGGACGAAGGACCGTCGTGCCGGCGTCAGACATTGCCGTAAAATAATGGGGACACATATGAAGCCGGAGTCATACTCCTTATATATCATACAAAAGACAGTCAGCAAACAGATTTCAACGAGAGTCATCGCGAGATCCGTGCTTCGAATGCCGCTTGGGAATGAGTTCAAGAAGAAACTTAGGCATGCGGCACTCGAACCACGGATAGTGCTATGGCTCGTGTTCGCAGGCTGTTTTTTGTATGATGCGTGAGCAGTATGACCCCATTTTAAAGGGATACTGAACCAAACATTTCAGTGTGCGTAATAACTGGAACACAATCTTTCCACGAGCCAACTGCCACCGGTCTGCGCAAAACTCGCAAAGAAATTGACACCATTATCCTCCATTCGAGCTTAAAGGAGCGGTGCAACGTAATTCAATTGGAATGTTTTTCTCTCTACACGAGCTTACTGGCACACCTGGGATTCAAGGATGCTCACACGCAACGCCATTGGCCAAGAAACTCCTTTGTTGCGGTGTAATTTCAAGGACAAAAGCGATCATTTTCATTCAATCTCTCCTTTGCAAAATTTGATGACGTAACGTGGGGTTCGCAGTACACCCAAGTGACGATATTTGAATGCGGTTCATAGATTGGACCCGAGCATTGCGTGGGCACTCGACGTCGGCTCGTGACAATTGCTAGCTCGAGAAGCATTCGGGTTGTGACCCGTGTCCAATCGCTGCAACGACGGCAACAGCCGAGCCATAACAATGTCTGGAACTCAGCGCGTGTCCTGCACTTTGCCAACCCCAGCGCGTGGCTATGATCAACGCTGGCGGCATATAATCGGCTCCAGATCACGTGGCCGCTTGTTCTGGCTGCGAGTTGAGGGGGTGAACGCTGCTCGTTTTTCTTAAATTTTTTTCTGGGACTTCTATTGCGTGGGGTGAAAAACGAACGCGTGTTTCATAGGTCATTAACGTAAGGGATCCGTTTTAAGCGGTATTTGCGCAAAGTACAAAAATTGTTGCATAGCTCCTTTAAGAAGACAGTGAAATGTGTGGGGTCCGGAGAAAAGGAGAATGAAGGCAGGCTTTTCATCTCCACAGTGGGGACTGGTGTAAAAGGAGAGAGATCAATTGATCTAACAAGATGGCAGCTCTCACATGTGTAGATGAAAAGCCTGTCTTTGTTTTCCTATTGTTCGGAGCATATACATTTCATGGTCATCTTAAGCGAGAATGGTGGATCATGACGTCAATTTCGTTGCGTGCGCTCGCGCACACAGGCGGCTGCTGGCTCGTGGGAAGATCGTGCGCCACTTTTTAGGATCACTGAAATGTGTGATTCAGTATCCCTTTAAAGGCTGATGAAGTCCAACGAACGAATATGCTGCACACCAGAGACGAATTTTACCCGGCGGCGTTTGCTCTGCACGAGGTGTAAGAACGGTTCCATCGGTTTTTAGCCGCATATTTATGTAATTAAGTCCAGCATAAACGCGGTGTCTCTTAAGTGACTCTAGTACCTTATTGAAAAATTGTATGTAAAGCCTCCCAGGATTTTGCTGAAATGTCTACTAATTACATTTTTAACGGCTGCCTTTTTGGGCGATGGTTCATTATCTTTTCATTAACTCCTTCCGGGCTTTAAAGGCCTGTTCACACATGAAGCGGAGCGCTACAAGCGTAGCGCTGACCTCGCGCTAAGCGCGTGCTGACGGGAGCGTTCACCAGCTTTGTATCGCACCGTCCATACTGTTGTTCATGGCGGACAATAAGTAGCGGACGGCACGTGAGAAGCGCTACATCAGCGCTTCGCTACATGTGTGAACCGGCCTTAAATGTTTCTGGGTTTAAGAGCTAGAGAGTTGAAATTTGAAGGTTGTAGGGCTGAGGGGGATGAGGGGCTAAAAGTGTTTGAAGGGCTGAAAGGATTTGAAGAGCTTGAAGGATTTGAAGTGCTGACGAGATTTGAAAGGCTGAAGGTGTTTGAAGAGTTCAGAGGGTTTGAAGAGCTGAGATCGTCTTACAACGCAAAAGGGCTGAAGGGTTATTTCTAATGGGGTACGCACCTTGCCGGCTGGATGCCAAGCATGCAGTAGGGGTCGCTGAAGCCGTTAGGGTCCTTGGCCTCCAGTCCCTGTGCCTCGACCACGGTGACGTTGAGCACGGGGATGGGCGGCTTCTCCTCCCTGGCCAGGGCCAGCAGGCGCCGGTGGCTCTCCGGGGGCATGTTGAAGGCGCGCTGGGCGTACGCGTGGAGCTCCCCGGGCCCGATGGCGCCGCCGCCGCCGCAGCCCAGCTTGTGCTCCACCGTGTACAGCACCTCCACGTACAGTTCGTCCCACTGCAAGAACCGGCAAAAGAGGTGCTCAAGGTAGCCAAAAAGGCAGCCGGATTCAACAGGTCGTTTTGGAGCGCCCCGGGATCAGTACACCTGATCCAAGATGGACTACACGATCCGAACGGAGTCGCTCCACCTCCGGATCCCAATGGAACACGACAACTCCTCCGGGATATGCGGATGCCTTCCCGTCATTCACCTTCACGGGAATCCCCTTCCCGCGGTCCCGGATCTCAAAACACATGTTTACGCAATCGCGGCGCTAACCACACGTGTTGAACGCACGAGCGAAGTTAATCATGATCTGAAAAGTGCGTGTCGATAAGCGATGTGAATCAGAGTAGCCCACTTGCCTCTTCATCGAAATACTCGTGAACGGTGTCCAAGTACGTCTCGATTTTCGGCCTCTTCTGCGGAGGTCCGAAAAGGCGGTCGAATTCATGCGTGACATACAAGCAAGCAATCTTCGTCGTCGTTGCTACTTGCGCCGCTGCTGCTGGAGGAAAAGCTGCTAAAGTAGCAGCAGCATTAAAGCGGGCGGCAGTTCGCGAGCGGCCATTACGAATTCTTTCGAGGCGAGATGCCCGGCAAAAAAGGAAGTTACGTGCGCGCGCCGAAAGCCGGCCAGGCTGGCTTCCGATCGAATCCGCCGAAATCAGCGGAGCGACTTTTCTCGGATCCGGATCGAGATCTGGAGAGGGAACTAATCCAAAATAACGAGTGGAACACATCCGTCTTGATGTCATTCGCCCAGTGAAATAGGCACGCCCCAAAACGACCAGTGGAGTTCGCCGTACGCTCAATCATGCCGACAAAAAACAGGGGAGTGCAAGCGTGTTAAGCGCGAACTACCACCTGGCAGAACTAAAGCCCCTCGATTTGTTTGTGTTTCTCTTGCAAGTGGCGTCAAATGCACTAGTGCACCAGGCCCGTGCCTCGTGCGGCCCTTGGAAGAAGATGGCGGCGCAGCACTGATATGAGCGGCCCTTTTAAGCGAATGGTCATTCGCTCCTGGCACGTGTCTAGCACGTTTCCACAACAATGGTTGGCGGTACTTGTAATAAACGCCTAGCGTGAGTTTTATCGAGGGGCTTTAGGCAGAATCCACCTAGCAGAAATCGACTTCACGCAGCTCCAAGTCACACGACATGGACACATGACGTCAATAGGGAGTTTTCGAAGACCGCGTTTTCCCCTCCGCTCTCCACAACGAAGAAGCCGCTACTGCCCCTGCGTGCCGATGGACTTGACTGAAGAGTTCCGGGTACCGTAGCGGGTTGCGTAGAGCACTGCGGGGCGGCAAAAGCGATCTACGAAAACTACCTTATTTTACCGTTAAGTTTAGCGAAAAAATTAACGTCATGTGACAAAAAAAAATTTCGGCTAAATTTACAGGGGAAATAGACGTGACGATTTTCCACGACTGTTTTCTGTGATGGTTTTCTCGCAGAATTCAGCTGGTGAAACAAATCCTGCAGTGTGTTAAAACTGTGCGCGTGCGTTTAGACAACGGGACGTCGGCGAGCTCCACTGGGCGGCTCGTGTATCCTCTGCAGGTGAGAAATCTTCCCGATGCAGTACGACTGTTAGCCCGGGCGGTTTACCCCGCATCACGCGGTAATGATACACGTCCGCACGCCGGTACAATTCTCACCCAGATCGAAACAAGCCAGGGTAGGGATGGAACTCGGGACCTCTGCGCTCTGCGGAGGCGATCCGTCACTGCACCTGCTCCGAGCTGTGGCGCGTTAACGCACTCACCCTGTCAGGGATAATCGATATGGGCTATTCCAATAATTACCTTCTGTGCGCTGCTATCTTTGTCTGTTGGGCTGTGAAACGCCTTCTGCGCATGCGCTGCATAGTTTCTTGATGGAATATCAGACATCTTGGGTAAAACCAGCTGAACAAAGGAAGGAAGGTGACTGCTGGTTTTAAACAAGATGTCCCAGAACCAACTAGCTCAGCTTTTACCCTTAGTGAATATCAGACGCAGCGCATGGGTCCATAGGCTGCAGTGACTCGGCATTTTTCGCTCGAATAGCCAACGCTAGAAAAGTGAACAGGCCAGTTTGATCGTCCCTACGAGACAAAAGTTAGAAATCGATTGTAAGGATAGTTTTTTTTTTCTGGTGTGTGAATTAATAAATTAGAAATACTGACCCTCGCGTCGATTACCAAATATAGAATAAAACGGAAAGAAATGGAAAAAAAATGGAAGACGTTTGCAAATCTCTGTAACACGAAATTAGAGCGCAGTTCTTGAGATATTTTGATTTTGCGATATACCATGCTAAAGAATTTGAGGAAGAAATATCTGTACGTACAAATACAGACCCCGTACTGCTGCGTACATTATATCCCTGTCAGGAATTCCACGGACTCCGGCCGAAACGTCAAAGAATAAACCGTCCGTTGTTGCTCTTTTCACCAAGGATTTTCTATACTTATTATATATATATATATATATATAAATTAATTTTTATTATAGTATTATTTATGTAAAAAGAAGGGGAGGGTACGGAGAATCCTCCCCTCCTCCTCCTTTCCTCCTCCTCCCACTCCCCTCATCCGCTTCCTCCTCCGGTTACGCCGACGCCGACGCTGACGCCGACGCTGCAAAACACAGGAACGAGCGCCTAAGAGCTGCGCATTAAAAGCAGGGTTGTAAAAGTTACTTCAAAAATGTACCTAAGATACAGTTACAGTTACTCATACGAAAATGTACCTAGGTACGTATCTAGCTACTTGCTTAAAAATGTACCTAGGTGCAGGTACAGTTACTTCAAAGGTACTTTTTATTTTCACGCCAAGTATTTTTCTCAAATTCGTCACATTATTAATAGAAGTAAATCCTTTGTATACTGGGATGTACAGAGCGCGACACTGTTAGCGCGAACAAGCAATTGCCGGTTTTTCCAGTTTTTCTCTGTGAAAACAAGGAATGTCATTAAAGCTTTTATTGCTACGGAAAGAGCTCATTTAGTTCTATAACGTAAGTGATAACATTTCGTGCTCGCTAATACCATTTACAAGTAAAATGCGAAAATGCGCCGATGTCGTGTTCGCGCTAACAGTGTCGCGATGTGTACACAAAAACAAGTTTGATAAACATGCTTTATTGGTGTCAATGGGCCCTCCCTGTTCCCGCCCTGTTCCCGTGCGCTAGCTACCAGCGAAGTCAAAGCTAGCGCGAGCCCAATGCTCTGTGCATTCCTGACTCGCGCGTGGGCTCGTGCAGTGTGGGCACCGTTACGGGCTCCATGCGCGCGCTTGTAGCTTCGGCTGCGCTCGCACCGAAGCTGAAACGAAGTATAGTTGAGTTTCACCAAACTCTGGATGTAGTGCTGGTAAAGCCTCACCATCCTTTTCGGAGCACAAAGCACTGCGCGACTCGCGCGACTGTGGTGTCTGCTCCGCGGGTGTCGCTTCTCTGCAGCGCGTCGGTGCATGCCAAGGAGCGCACTCAACGGGTTAACTCGTTGTGATCCGATCGTGACTTCGCCAGCACATCGAAAATGAATCGGAATTTTTGAAGCAAATATCAGATACCGCAATATTAGAAGCTGCTGACCAAAAAACAACTCTAATCTGAACTAAAACATTCCACAACAATGAGGGTCGTTAGGTGCTGCTGCAGATACCTGAAAAGAAGTGCAGGCTGATAAAACTAAATATCCTGTACCATCAGAACTCAGTGTTACATATTTAATTGTATTTTTTTATCTGACGAGCAGATAAACTTTATTTTAAAAAATGATTTTTTTTGTGTGTGTTTACTTTGTTGAATTTTATATATCCTGTCTTAAAAGGGCGACAGGCGCTGTGTTCCTATAATAGAGATGGGCTTTATATAGCAATGCGGCATTATTTCATTTTCAAGTAATATGCCAACATATGCCGGACCCTGCTCCAAAAGGGCCACTACCTGCTTTAAAAAAATATTTTGTCTGCTACAAGGCCTGCTCCAAAAGGTCAAATGGCACTTCCATCACTGTGTAAGGTTTGTTATGCTCCGTACTATGTGCGTCTACGTCCGTCAGTCGGCCAAGAGATTGACGTCGCGTCGCACGTCAGGGTAGCAACTTTTTGTGCGTACAATACGCCTGCTACTGATTTCTCGTTGTTCACAACTGCGGATGTTCGACAACTGGGACTTAGAACTCTGCAGGACCCCCTCGAAACCGTTGTTTAAAGCCTGTCCCTGCGTCAACTCACTCTTCGTTTTCGACGTGTTTCGACCTATTCACCACTCTGACTTCACCTATATATTATATATGACAAAGTAGAGGTCCCTCGGTAGAACAACGGAAACTTTATTTTCGACGTTTCAACCGGAGTCCGATCTTCGTCAGGAATGGGTAACAAAGAAAGGTTTCCCTACCAAAAAATCCGGTATAACTTTTCGCTATCCGGATTATGGAACCGGAAATTTATCTGGAATCTATCTGGAATCTATCTGGAATTTAGGTTTTCCGAAATAATTATTTTGTCTGCAATCTGGATTTCGGGTTTCCAGTAACAAATTTCCGGTTCCATAATCCGGATAGTGAAAAGTTATACCGGATTTTTCGGTAGGGTTGGTCATAAACAAAGATGTATATGACCTATACTTATACAAAGATGTATATGACCTATACTTATACAAAATTACGGTGCAAGTTCATTTTTCAGGGCGTCTGGAGCGACGGTAAGAAGTCGTTACAAAGATGTCCGGGTGCGCTAGGTAAACTAGGCTTCCGAGAAAATGAACCGACCCACAACAGTTATCTGTAAGTTGCCTTGTCATTGGTCATTTAGATATCGTCTTCATTTTAGTTTTACTGGAAGTAACCAATTTTTCCCTTTTTAATGCCCGCACGTCCGGAATTTTCCGCCGCTGTTGACCATCTTTGGCGTCTGGCAGAAATATCGTTTTCGTCTCAAGTGCTAATGCTGAAACCTAGTTGGACTAGTGTCCTGCGCCGCTGATCTGTTCTGATACGGTGCAATAAGTATTAACT